CACACATCCACAGAGTCTCACATCCCACTGAACAAAAGAGGAAACCCTTTCAGAGGGACTATTGCGTCAATATCTGAACCCCTATTGAGCATAATTGACAGTGAACGTGAGATAAAGTAAAGCTGTTTATGTTTTACCTGCTGTCACTATGCATGGTTTGTTTTACAAGTTGGAGTCTGATAATAGAGATGCATAATATGGCCAAAAGTATGATAAAATCTAGATGAAATCAAAACTGATTCCTTTTACTTTCTATACTCTGTACATGTTCCTGGTCTTTTTGTATATGGTTCATTGTTGCACGTAAAACCAAAGAAAAAAAAGGTCTGATAATGGCGATTAAGTGGGCTGGCAACATGTGGGGAGACCAAACTTGTATAGCAAAGCTTTTTCTATCTGTGTGCTTGATTATATAATGTTAATAACATGGTTTCTGGGTTGTTTTCAGGACCAGAGGTACGAAGGAGTTTTCCCGACACATACACTGAACAGGTTTGCACTTAATTTCTCTCTCTCTCTCTCTCTCTCTCTCTCTCTCTCTCTCTCTCTCTCTCTCTCTAGGGATGTTGGGGTGGGGATCTCGTAATTGTTGTTCACCTCAGTGATAATGCAGTGAGCACCTGTTCTGACAGATGGAGTTTAACCACTAGAGAGTGTGTGTCGTTTTTCTGAGGGGTCTGTGGCACCAAACACCCTTTTTATGGAGTTTTAACCAAACTCGCTTAAGATTCTGACTCTGGCTTCTTTGGAAACCAAAAAAATATGTTATTCTGTACAGTGAAGGACATATGGGGAAGTAGCGAGCAAATATGTATGCTGATGTAAATATTGTGTGTGCCTCTGAAATTAATGACCAGCAACCATTTTATGTTTTATATTTCCTTTAAACCATATGTCCATAAATAAAGACATTAATAACATTTACTAGAAAAGACAAATTTGTTATCCACAGGTAATAACTTGTCTTTGGTCATTTGAATTAAATCTGAACAATAGTGTTACCAATAAATAAAATAACAAACAAATGAAAGGTTTATCATTGTAATTTTAATTCTATATTTATAAATTATTGTATTAATTAATTAATTAATTAATTAATTAATTAATATAAACTAACAAATCAAAAGTTGTGAGTCTGCAGATTTCTCTTATTCTCATCAAGGCTGCATTAAAAAAAGGCAAAAACAGTAATTTTGTGAAATATTATTACAATTTAAAAGAACTGTTTTCTATTTGAATATATTTTAAAGTTTAATTTATTCCTGTGATGCAAAGCTGAATTTTCAGCATCATTACAATTAATTAATTAATTAATTAATTAATAAATATAAACTAACAAATCAGAGTCTGCAGATCTGCAGATTTCTCTTATTCTCATCAAGGCTGCATTAAAAAAAGGCAAAAACAGTAATTTTGTGAAATATTATTACAATTTAAAAGAACTGTTTTCTATTTGAATATATTTTAAAGTTTAATTTATTCCTGTGATGCAAAGCTGAATTTTCAGCATCATTACTCCAGTCTTCAGTGTTACATGATCCTTCAGAAATCATTCTAATATGCTGATTTGATGCTCGAGAAACATTTTTTATGATTATTGTCAATAATAGTTCAGTTTAATTGAGCTTAATATTTTTGTGGAAACAGCTGTTCTTTGATGAATAGAAAGAACAGCATCTATTTAAATGCTTTTATTTTTAATGTTTCCTTGCTAAATAAAAGTATGAATTTCATTACAAACATGTATAATATAGATTAGGCCTGGGAAGATAAAACGGTATCGATATATCGACGGTACACCTTCTTCGATAATGATAGAAAAAATGTTCGATATAGTGCACGAAATAGGCACGTGCTATGAGTGATGCAGACAGCCCACAGGAGCACGAACACATGCTGAATTGAGTGCTGTGCTTGCCTGTGATGAGGAGATTGTGAATAAAAAAATTAATATTAGTCAAATTTAAAATAAACATTTGCATTTGAATGCAAAAAAGTACAATCAAATGTTAGGTGTGCGTCAGGGAGCGTCATCAGTGGAGCGCGAGATGCAGTTATGATGATGTAAGTGCCGTTTTTTGCATTTTTATGTTTTGTTAGTCTAGCCCACGAGACGCGCAGTTGCTGCGTTATTCATTCAAAATATTAGAGAAATATAGTAGCTGGTCTTAATTAGGTTAAAACAGAAACCAAGCCATTCACACAGAACGCAAATTCAGCGCATTTTTTTAGTCGGACAAATATGACTGCTGCACTCGTGTCTCACACAAGAGATGTATAGAAAGCCATGCAAAGTTAAAACAGTTTAAACCTTCAGAAAACACGTTTCGAATTTGTGGAGGTTTATTCCTTTTCATTGCGTCTCATATGTTTTTAAAGGCAGTCTGTGTGAATGGTGCTTCAGCTCTTTGTATTAAGCAATGCATAAATACATGATGCGTTTTTGTTCATAATTGTTTATGCAATTTACGAAATTATATGAGTTAATTTAGACGTAATGCACGTTTTTTTTATAGACAGTTATTTCCTTGCTTGACAATTTAATGCGCTGCATTATTTTGCTCATTGCGCCCTCCTGTGGCCTCGGGAAACAAGCCAAAAGTTTCCTTGAGACCTATTTAATCTGCATATAAAACATTAGAAATTAGATATTTGTTTAATTTTTGCGCGAGATGCAGTGATGATGATGTAAGTGCCGTTTTTTGCATTTTTATGTTTTGTTAGTCTAGCCCACGAGACGCGCAGTTGCTGCGTTATTCATTCAAAATATTAGAGAAATATAGTAGCTGGTCTTAATTAGGTTAAAACAGAAACCAAGCCATTCACACAGAACGCAAATTCAGCGCATTTTTTTAGTCGGACAAATATGACTGCTGCACTCGTGTCTCACACAAGAGATGTATAGAAAGCCATGCAAAGTTAAAACAGTTTAAACCTTCAAACCTTCAACCGTGTGTTTGACTGTTAAAACAAAAAATATGTGTTGTTTGTCTAAATAAATTGGGTTAATTTAAAAACACAGTGGTTAAATTTAAACATTTTTTTTCTGTTGCTCTTTGTTTTAAAAAAAGGTTATAAAAAATGTCAGTAATTATCGATATGAAACATTATATCGTTGATACGTTTTTTTAGCTTTATCGCACAACCCTAATATAGATGTATACATATAAATAATTTATCATTTTCGTACTATTTTTCTTACAAATTTTTTTTTGACGACTTGTAAAAATAGCGAAATAAAAATGTCAGGAATTAAGGAAGTTATAATGCATTAAATAGGAAATGGGGAGCGAACACAGTGACTGTTTTTAAACTTCACCTACTGAAGCAGATGTAATTATCTGTGTGTGCATATAACTGGAACAGATGTGTGTACCTGTCCACTCTTTATACCTGTTGATTGCAGTTTCACACACTCCCATAGCACACACACACACACACACACACACACACACACACACACACACACAGACACAGCTTTAATCACCCTGATAGTTGGGTCCAGTGGTCCCAGAAGGCATTCTTTGTGTCGGCCCAGCGGTGAAGCTCTGTAATCTGGGCTGTGTCCCCTCCCTCTCCCCTGTCATGCTATTGTTAGGGATAATCCCTAACTCCTGACACAGATGAGGGTAGGAAAACACACACACTCACGTACACACACCCCTGGGGGCTCAAGTCCATATGGAGGGGTACCAAAGCAACAGCATAGTCCTTCACGCACACAGTTTGATCTGTACACGGTGGTCTTTTGTGTGAATGAAGCTAATGGTTATGTTTCAGTGTATGAATTCTTTCTTTCTCACAATCTGTTTTCAGGAGACGCTACAGACTATCCCAAGGTTTTGTTTCCCTTTCAATATGGACAGGTAATATTACAATCGTTAATCAAATCAAGTCACCTTTAATTATACAGGGAATAGTTCACCCAAAAATAAAAATTTGCTGGAAATCTACTCACCCCCAGGCCATCAAATATGTAGATGACTTTGTTTCATCATCAGAACAGATTTAGAGAAATTTGGCATTACATCACTTGCTCACCAATGGATGCTCTGCAGTGAATGGGTGCCGTCAGAATGAGATTCCAAACAGCTGATAAAAACATCACAATAATCCACAAGTAATACACATGACTGCAGTCCATCAATTATCATCTTATGAAGCACAGAGCTGTATGTTTGCTCCATAATCCATAATAACACTTCCTCCTGTTAAAAAAAAAGACACATCAAAATCCACCGACATATTTGTTTAGAACTGTTTTGGCTTATAAACATAGCTTGATCTGTGAATATTTCTCTCTTGATTCTGCCAAAATGGCTTTTTCACTGGAGAAAGCAATATTATGGATAGAGGACTTGTATTATAGCTGGAAGTTTGAAGTTAAAAATATGTTAATGATGGATTTGTTTATCACAGGCATGCAGCTTTGCACTTTCACAAGACATTAGTTGATGGACTGGAGTCATGTGGATTATCATGTTTTTATCAGCTGTTTGAAAACAAGCTCAATTCAGCTATAAGCAACTACCGAATTTGACTCTACTACTGTCTAGTGTTGTTATTCAGCTTGAGTCAGTTCAGTGTTGATTCAGTTCAGTCACAAAATTGGTCAATTATACACACTTCAGCTGTAAAGCAGCTCTACAAAAAGCAATAGTGTCACCGCCCAGCTCGATTCATTTTATTTTGTTCTCATCTGATTGTGTGAGTGCCATCATTTCATTTGATTCCAGCACCTCTTGAACCTTGAATTTATATGTTCTGACCAACATTTTGTTTTTGACCCTGTTCTGTCTTCCAGTATGGCAGTGGGCCAGGTGGGGCAGAACTTCACATTTGTCCTGACGGATATTGAGAGCAAACAGCGCTTCGGATTCTGCCGGCTCTCATCGGGAGCTCACAGCTGCCACTGCATCCTCGGGTACAAACTGTTGGGTTTAAGTTTTAAATTTGAACTTAAATTGGCCTGTTTTCGTCATCCACCTACTTTAGATCAGCTTAATCTAATTGTATTCTAACCATATCTGTTCAGCTACCTGCCCTGGTTTGAGGTGTTTTACAAGCTGCTGAATATCCTGGCAGACTATACAACCAAAGGACAGGTCAGTGATGCACATAAAACACTCAAATGTCACTGTGTATTATACACGCAGATGTACACATACACATTTAATCAGCTGTGTAAAAGAGGATTTCTTGCTGATTTCATACTTTCAAAATTACAATTACCTTGAAAAACTTGAACTTGACTCTGAAATATAGCTTTTTACATTTTGTATAAATAGATGATTTTTAATAAAAGCAAGTAAATAAGGATGGGTTTCATATCTACCATTTTCCCTTAGACAAAATTAGTATTCTTCAGATTTAAACTACTGTTCATAAGGTTTGGACGGTATATATATATTTTTAATAAATTAATGCTTTTATTCAGCAAGTACACATTCATTTAATCAAAAGTGAAAGGAAGGACATTTATAATGCATATATGGCTTTGATTAAAGTGATTTAACATCTTAAAATATATATATATAGTGAAAAATTAGCATGTGAAACTTGCTGTTTTCATTTGTGTGTATTTGTGTTATAGGACAGTCAATGGAGAGAGTTGTTAGAGTCTCTACACACGTTAAACATCCCTGACCCTGGAGTGCCTGTGCATTTGAGTGTGGTAATATACACAACACGTTATCAGACAATATTTTCATATTACAATAAATTTATTGTATAAAGCTAATTATATTTCTCTCTCTCTAGCATTTGTTTTTCACAGTGCCTGATCCTAGGGAATTACCCAGTATACCTGAAAATGTAAGTCTGACTTATTAAATTGACCCTGTTAGTCAGATTTATACATAACTATTCGGTTGGGACTAGTTATAATTTTAACTAAGGACGTCTGAAAATACACATTTAAAATGACTGTGAAAATGGTCAAATTCAAGGTAATTCATCAATCCATATGGAGATCTATGATTTCTTTTTATGTATCTGCAGAGAAATCTGACAGAGTATTTTGTAGCAGTGGATGTGAATAACATGCTGCATCTGTACGCTAGCTTGCTGTACGAAAGACGAATCCTCATTAGCTGCAGCAAGCTGAGCACTGTGAGTAACATCTCTACCATTATCGCTCTCTCTATTGTTGGTTGTTTCTTTACTCATTTTAGAGCTATTAATAAACCTTATTCTCCCTCTCAGTTAACCGCATGTGTTCATGGTGCGGCAGCCATGTTGTATCCCATGTACTGGCAGCATGTTTACATTCCAGTCCTGCCACAGCACTTAATTGACTACTGCTGGTGAGTGCACACACACACACACACACATACACACACATTTACACATACATACTTGTTAAGAACTTCATATTTCTATTGTTTTAAAATCAAGTAGTTAATTACTTGACCCTAATTTTTATATTATAAAAAAGGCATTATTTGGCACATTTAGGAGGATTTATTATATTTACAAAGGGTTTTTATTAAATTCATAAAAAAATAAATAAATATATAAGTATATATTTTAAGATCAGTCTCTTGGGGCTTACTCATTCATATTTATTGAAAAGGCAAGAGAAACCAGTTTATGTTAGAATTTCTTGATTTTGTCCTCTAATAGAATTTCCATTTTAAATTATATTAGACATTTGTTTTTATTCAGAAAATCTTTGAATAATTTTAGAATTGGAATCATACATTAAATTGAACGATTCTATATAATTGTTGTTATTATTATTTTAAGCATGTTTTGTACTTTGCATGTATTTTTGTGTTGTTTTTTTAATGCAACATTTTTAAATGATTGTAAGCAATGTATTAAAATTATATTGGAATCATAATTGTTTTTAAAAATTGAAATACTGTTGATATGGCGTTAAATCATATATAAATAAATATATATAAATAAATATTATTCACTTATGATTTTTAAATATTTTCATATTTCATTTTGTTATGATTTCATATGGTAATGGCTCACAACATTACTGTTTTTACTGTATTTTTATCGAATAAATGCAGCCTTGCTCAGCATAAGAGGCTTCATTCAAAATATTTAAAAATCATAATGTTTCCAAACTTTTGAGAAGTACTGTGTATATTTAATATAATCATATATTAAATACATTTTAAAAGGCAGAAACTGTACTGAACTATTGTTATTTTTTTTAGCGCTCCAATGCCATACCTCATCGGAGTGCATTCCAGTCTTATGGAGGTGACTGATTGCTTTCTTTTATTTTACCTTACCGGCATATTCATATTCTTCTGTGTTGCAGATTCATATTTAAATCACAGTGCTGTTGTATTGTTACTTGTTTTAGTGTAGCAGACTTCTAGGCTGTATTTAGAATATTTCGTGTGTGTTTGTGTGTGTTGTCGTAACAGAAGGTGCGAGGTGTGGCTTTAGATGATGTGGTACTTCTCAATGTAGACACAAACACTCTTGAAACGCCGTTTGATGACCTGCAAAGCCTTCCTAATGATGTGGTGAGTAAATAAGCATAAACACGACCTGCTCTGATCTCCAAAAAGTCTGATCTGTTCTGGGCATGGTGTTGATTTTGATATGTCAGTGATGATCTGATATGGAAATTTATGATGGTTGCAGCAAGTGATATACGTGTGTTGTAGGTTTCATCTTTAAAGAACCGCCTAAGAAAAGTTTCCTCGACGACAGGAGATGGAGTGGCCAGAGCGTTTCTGAAGGCGCAGGCAGCACTGTTTGGCAGTTACAGGAACGCACTACACATTGAACCGGTGAGAGAGAGTTTGAAGTATTGATGTGCTTATGGTTTGGAATGAAGTTCAGACTCATAAATGTTAGCTCTGAGCATTTGATGAAGTATTTGTTAAGCTCACCATGCAGGATGACTGTGAGACAGTGTCCCCTAGTGGACAGTCCATGTGGCTTTGTAAATATAAATGCTCTGGTTGACATGTTTTTGACTTCCCATGTTCAGGAGGAGCCAATTACCTTCAGTGAGGAAACATTCATGACACACCGATCCAGCACAATGAGACAGTTTCTACAGAACGCTATACAGCTACAGTTCTTTAAACAGGTATTGCACAAACATTTAACTAACTATCCAAATGAGAGCATACAATATATTTTTATTGCTTTATATAAAGCAAATTATAAATACAGCTTCAAATAAAGATTCCTTCTTTTAGTCTATACACATAAGTTTATCATTTGTTTTATAAAACAGCAGCTGTTTTCTTTTTACCAGTGTTTATAGTGCTTTTCACGCATATTAAGGCACTTCCATATTTTTTTTATGTTGTATCAGCACCTTGTTTAGCAGCATCAGACTTCAGTGTTGTTATTGTTAACTAAAACTATTAAAAATTATTTTTGGTAATTAAAAAAAATAAATATTACATTACAACGTAAACTGAATTACAGAAACTGAAATAGGTTTAAGTTGAAGTACTAAAATGACTAAAATATAGAAATATTTGAATTATTAAAAAAATTTATAAAAATGGCAGAGGCACATAACCAAATTACTAAAACTTAAACTAAAATTAAAATGAAAATTTTTAGAATCAGACACAGAGCTTTTGTCAACTTTGTCTAACCTCTTGTATAACTTATTTTAAATGGAAAATCACATGTTTATTTTATAAAGCGTCCCTCTCATGTGACGCCTACATAAAGATCATTGCTTTAATGTGTGTGTTTGCAGTTTATAGACGGGCGTTTGGAGCTGTTGAACTCTGGTGAAGGGTTCAGCGATCAGTTTGAGGAGGAGATCAATATGGGAGAATATGCTGGTAAGAGACTTTTAATTTGTATTTACTTTAAAGCTAATAATTTCATGTAATTTTGTGTTATTACTGTTTTTACATTCACTCTTCTCTGTGAATGTTTAATATTTGTGTTACAGGCAGTGATAAGACATATCATCAGTGGCTTTTCACAGTGAAGGTGACATTTCTTGTTTTTTATGTGTGCTGGAGAGGCTGATTTGTACTGATTCTTTGTGTATTTGCTTATGAGCTTTTCCCCCTCAGTCTTATGATGTCTTTTTCTCGTTTGACATACAGAAGGGCAGTGGGGCCATCTTAAACACAGTGAAGACAAAGGCAAATCCTGCAATGAAGACAGTTTACAAATTTGTATGTATCCATGCGTAAACACTTTCTTTCTCAGTTCTCTATGTGTGAGTGAACTCTAGTTTTGTCTGAGAGAGAGTTTCTTCAGTTGTTTTCTCTTTTTCTATGAGAAATTTCTCTGTGCTGCCTGTTTAAGGGATCTCCTCATGTTTTCTCTACAGGCCAAAGACCATGCCAAGATGGGCATCAAAGAAGTAAAGAGTAGACTCAAACAAAAGGTGCTCATACAATCAAGCACGTGCACACAAAAACACAATTGTTCATCATTTTTGCATAAACATACTGTATGTGCATGCATTTTTTAATAATGTGCAAGCGACTGTGTATTTACTTGCAGGAGCTTACAGAGAATGGTTACACAGAAGAGACTGGCTCCACCCACCTACCCTCCACACACAGCAAAGACTCCCTCACCTGGGACCAGAGACGTCCGATCACAGTTCACTTTGGACAGGTGGGTGTGGGGAATTATAACTGATTTGGAAATTGCAAAATTTTGGCAAAGAGCATTAATATAGTGTAAATTGTTGTTGATTTCAAATGATATAGTATATCACTGTAATGTACATGTACGGTATTATAATCGTGGCAACTTCAAAATAATGTACCTGTATTGACCCGAATATAAGACAATGCTTTTTTCTTGGAAATACATCTGAAAAAACGCGGTCGTCTTATATTCAGGGTCTAGACTTTGAAATGTCAATAATACACCCACAACAATAGGTGGTGCCAAATACGCATAAAACAAGTGTGCCATGAAATACGTAATGTAATGTGTGTTGTAAAGATCGCAAGTAAAAACAAAAGAAAAAGAAAACCTTACAGCTGCACGAGTTGTGACTGTCACGTTAGCCTGATGGGACCAAACTCTCTTTGTGATTTTAAAACGTAAGACAGTACCCAGATTTGAAGACTACAGTAATATTTAATTTCTACTGTTAATAAGATTTTGGTAGGCTACTATTAGATGGATAGCCTAAATATCCTAATTCAGATGGGCTAACTGTTTTTTTTTAATTAATTTTTTTTTATGGTATATCAAAAAGTGTATATTTTTTAAATGTGATTGTTGATCATTTTACCAGTTTTTACCATACTTTCAAAACAAAAATTAAAATAGGAAAAATATACAATATGAAAATAATTGAAGACAAAATGTGTTTTACTGAGAAAAAACGAGACTTGGTTTTTAAAAAGCCTTTTCCCAAAAGGTACATCTGGAAAAAGGGGGGTTGTCTTATAATCAGGGTCGTCTTATATTCGGGCCAATACGGTAATAATTATAGGTAACTTATTATTCAAATTGTTTAGAATTTTGGAACATACATTAGCTTCTTGTCCATAAACTGGACAAAATTTAGAACACTGTGATGCCCAACTCTGACATGGAGAAGAAAGAAAGACAAACAAAGAGTATTTACATGTAATAGCTATTCAGATTTTTGTATTCACTATGGTGTTGATCAAAAATAAATACTTAATATTTATTTTTAAACACTTGTTTACACTCATACATTTTAATATGGGCTAAAGACCAGTCTAGAAAAGATGTCATGATATTAGCTGAAAATGTTTTGATACTTTATTGTAATTTTTTCATAGTTCACTTCAGTCAGTTTGAAACATTTGTTTACTTTTTACATTTTTATTCTGTATTGTTTTATTGTATTTAATGGTAAGCTATTTTTGTTATTTGAAAACGCTGTTAAACTTGTAATTAAGAGGCTAGCAGTAAAGTTTGCTCATCTTTTTCAACCTGTTTTTAATGTAATGTATTTCAATATCTGATAAAAGCGTCAGCATTTATCGTGATATGAAGCTTTGATATCGCTACATGCCTATTTCAGATGTATGTTAAATGGAAAGTTTGTTGACATGGACGTAGTAATTAGGATTCAGTCCTTGTGTTAAACTGTTACATTTTAGAAAGTGTGAAAGAAGTCATATTTTCACAGATAAAAGTGTGTGTGTATGTATGTATGTATGTATGTTTGGAGCAGACTGAGCAGTCACGTTCCCCACGGCCCCCTCGGCCACAACGTCCCCCTCCCCCCCATCCCTCCAAACTACAAAGCAGCACACGACCTGTGAGTACAGCACTCTCATCCCTGTCCTCTGACCTGTCACCCTGAGCTCAAATATTCCCTTCTGCCCTGGCTGGTGCACTGGAGTGTGTTATATTTGTGTGTTCTGACTGGATACTGTTTGTGTGCATGTATGTGTGTGTATTTACATGCCTGTGTGATATAACATCAATTATTTTTCTACAGAATAATGCTCAGTCACACTTGAATGAGTTTGTCGTGTGTTTGCACTTACTTTTCTACCACACAAACTTTTTTCCTTCGGTTTAAAGGGTGCTTTATTCTGTCTGCCACTCTTCAGGTAACCCTTTTGCCCCAGCCTGCATGCCTCCCTCAGGTGCCAACTACTTTCCCACTTCTGCCCACCCGTTCTCTGTATTCGGTCAGACATCTGCTGTGGGTGTGACCCCAACTGGAGGGGCGTGGCCAGTTGGACGCCTTCCTCCATCCTCCAGCAGTAGCGGCTCTCTTTCAACCCTCTTGGACTCACCTGCTCCTACTACTCTGGCCCAGCCTGCGCAAGTTTCTACAGACGAATCCAGTGACCCATTCAGTGACCTTCTTACAATGGCAACCACACCAACTGTAATGACCACGCCCCCCAAAAAGAAGGTAGAAGATTTGCGAAGAAGGTGGGAAACCTTTGACTAGCTGTGCTCACGTCTTTCCTCTACGGCTGCTACCAAACAGTGAGGGACTGCAAATTTAGAGCCAGTGGGTATTTAAGATTGTGCCCCCTAGTGGCCTAAAAGCACTGTTGGACATTTTCCCTCTCAGAGTGTGTCGTGCTTTTTTTTGCGCCTAGCTCACACACTTAGCCTTATGCACACAGATGCTAATGATGTATTTCCCATAGCATCCGGATGAAAGTGTTGTTCCAATAGCAGCAAGTTTAACACTGAAAAACCATATTAGCAGGATAACACTGTATTTTCTGTAGCTAGCAGTCTAGTTTCCACAGGGATCAGACTACAATACTAAAGATACCACACAGTAATATGACCCAAGTCCTACATTAGCGATTAGACTGCCATTGCTGCGTTTATGGCAGCAATTGCACGTCCTCTTAACAATCAGTACTGTTTTAATAAGAAGCTTGTTTTTTAACCCTACACACATTTATGAATTCAAACCGTTACACCCTAACATTCAATTCTTGTGCAAACTTCTACAAACGATTGTTAAATTGGCATTTATAATGCACCTGAATACAAATATTTGCTAATCCCTATTAGATGGCATACTACACATCCCACACTACTTGCGACATGACACAAGGGCATACTACATTCTGGACTCTATAATGCAAATTGCATATAACTTTGTGATTGCGGTACCTGCTGTGTACTTCATATTTGCACTACATTACATACAGCATACAATGATGCATACTGCACTACATATCGTGCCCTAGTAGAAGCTAAATACTACTCACTGCTTAGAGCATAGAGTGTGATAAAGTGCAGCAGAATGTTAGTGCTCAGAACAGGTCGGAGTAAACAGCCCCGTAGAACACAACACTGCCCCCTAGAGGTCTGAAGTCAGAAAACAAAAATGCAGTATGCATTTGATGCATACATTTTTTTTTTTTTTTAGGTTAAATACATGGTGAACGCCCTCACTGGTACCGGCTTTACCTCTAGTTCTGCTTGCCTGTGTGTCAGTCCAAAACTATTAAAATGGGTCTTATGGAACAGGGTTCTGTTTGGTTTCAAAATAGTTTAGTTTGGATACTAATTGTCCACTTGCTTTGATTTGATGTTAAAGTTCTCGTTTTATTCTGAGCATCACATGATAGACTTACAGCTTTCGTAAAGCGATCAGTCACCACCCTTCTTTTTAGCACTACCCTTTCCATCTAATCCGCTACTGCCATGCACTCTGCATTATGGGTATTTATTCTAATAGAGCCTTTTTGCGCTTTTTAAATATACATACTGCTATAAAGTGTGTTCAAATTAATCCTAACTCTTAACAACTGGTTTTCTTGTCATAGACTGTGCCTGTTTTCTGGGTTTAGTTCAGCACTATACACAATCGGTGTTGGAGGATCTTTGTTTCATGCCATGTTTTGCTATATTTTTGTCTGAGACTTGCAAGTAGGAGAACACTGTTTGTGCAAATCTTGACATGGAAAAGAATTGTGTACAACCAAACGCTCAAATCCAAAAGAAACATGTTTTTGTCAGGGAACATCAGGGAGTGAACTGGTGTCTCTTCTCTGGTTTTATTGATGTATTTAAAGATATGAAATCATGTTATTTGTGTTATTAAAGTGTTCTCGAACATCTCTATCCACCCTGTAGAGCTGTTAGATCATCACGTTTTCTGTTAGTTTATCTGTTTATATCACCTTTCGAATTTGGCCTTAAATGAGAGTGCGTGTGTGCATGTTGTGTGTGTAAATTCAGAGCTGTTTGTGGTGAGAGGTTTGTTGTGTATTCTTAGTTGTACTGCATGGGTTGTTCCGGTGTTTTGGTTCAAATATTGTCTTAATGTAAAAAATATGATTTTTACATTTCACATCAGCTGTTAGGTTGAAATGTGATTGGTGAAACACTGTCCTTGGTCAGTAATCTATACTGAATGTTTAAAACAAAATTCCAGTGGCAATGGAAGCCAGTACACCATCACAGAATACACTGAGCGGCATTGCACTGGATTGCAGTGAGCTTCTACTGGGGAGACTTTAATAATGTTTGACAAACACAAAACTTAAAATGAATTACAGCAAGATGTGTGTGTGCATATTAAAGTGCTACTTTAAAACCGAAAATATTTTGAAATATTCCGAAAAAATTAATCGGTTGACGCAAAACGAGGCATTTTTTAATTGACAAAAATACATTTGCTAAGTATTCTGTTAAAAGTACCTACACATTTAACTGCAGCAGATACAGTATTTTTTTCTTTTTAGGAAATTGTCAGATGAGCTGAAGCTGTGATATTTTTCCCCATACAGTGACTTAACTGGCAAGACATCCAAACATGTTTAGTGTTAAAAGTTGTTCTGGGTGAAGTATTGTAGATGACATCACTGCACAGCAGTCATTGAGGCCCGTCACTGAATGTGATTGTATTCTGTATTCCAGCGGAAAAGTGTCAAATTATAATCTACTATGTCTGGGTAAAAGAGGTTTTGAAAATGTGGCTGGCATGGATTTAACAAACATTGTAGGACCTATTTTGACAGGATCCTTTGAGGTTTCTCCGCTTGAATGGTAGGAGAGTGCAAGGTGGAACTATCAAGATGTGTTTCTGATGTGTAAAATACAATTTTCTCTTGGAATGTATCCTAATGTGAACTCATATCCTCTTATTATCATCTTGCACTTTTTTTATTTTTTAATTATTATTATTTGGATGTTATTATTTGTGTTTGCCATAATTAAAAAGCACACAGTATATTCATGTGAAAGTGGTGAGTTTGAGATTTATTTTGCTTACATTTAGTCATTTATTTTTAACCGTTCTCTTTCCCAGTATTCTTGCGCATATTGTGTTGTTAAAATGCACATGACTTTTCCTAATTATTTTAGCTGTAACTCCTTTTTAAACATGCAAACACAAACACTTTTATTATACTTTTTTTTTGCACATTTACACATTCAAAAATATATTCCTAAAATGTTGTAGTTTATACTGTACTGTTTAGTTTTAGTAAATCCTATGCATTCATTTGAAGAAAGCCTGACTGATGTGACAAAAAAAAGAAAAAATATTATAGCCACAATTTACAACATATACACACTCAGTTTTTACAGCATTTAGACATCAACAAGGATTTGTTCTTATGTTTATCTCTCATCTCTTATTTCATCTTCACACACAGACTGAATATTATTTCACCGCTCATGCAATCATATTTGCATGTGTACGCAGAGGTAAGTGTGTATAAATGGTGGTGGTGTTTATTTATCTTTGCACATTTACACATTCAAAAATATATTCCTAAAATGTTGTAGTTTATACTGTACTGTTTAGTTTTAGTAAATCCTATGCATTCATTTGAAGAAAGCCTGACTGATGTGACAAAAAAAGAAAAAATATTATAGCCACAATTTACAACATATACACACTCAGTTTTTACAGCATTTAGACATCAACAAGGATTTGTTCTTATGTTTATCTCTCATCTCTTATTTCATCTTCACACACAGACTGAATATTATTTCACCACTCATGCAATCATATTTGCATGTGTACGCAGAGGTAAGTGTGTATAAATGGTGGTGGTGTTTATTTATCTTTAGTAGTATGAACACACTCCTAAAAAAATCAAGTACAGTGATTGTCAAACAGTAACATGTTCACAGTTTTTCCAATAATGGTCTCAAACAATAAAAACAAATTGCATTCACATTTTGTTGGAATCACCATAACTCCCTTTTTGCTAAATCCAATTTTTCTCAGATTGTCTTGTGACTCCACCCATAACAGTTAAATAGCTGTGCAGATTTGCTGTCTATCAAAAAATGCAATCACTACATTAAAACACTTCTTGCTGTCTCGTATATGTGACCCTGGACCACAAAAGTCGCTTGGGGATATTTTTAGCAATAGCCCAAAAATACTTGGCTGAATTGTGAAAACAAAATTATCGATTTTTCTTTTATGCCAAAAATCATTAGGATATTAAGTAAAGATCATGTTCCATGAAGATATTTTGTCAATTTCCTACCCTAAATATATCAATAATTTTTGATTAGTAATATGCATTAAGAACTTCATTTGGACAACTTTAAAGGCGATTTTCTCAATATTTTGATTTGTATGCACCCCCAGATTCCAGATTTCAAATAGCTGTATCTCAATCAAATACTGTCCTATCCTAACAAACCATACATCAATGGAAAGCTTATTTATTCAGCGTTCAGATGTATAAATCTCAATTTCAGAAAATTGACCCTTATGACTGGTTTTGTGGTCCAGGGTCACATATTAAATACTGGAAGTGCAGATTATTGGCTAAAATAAAATAGCATTCAGACAAAGATGTGCTGAGATTGCTACATAACTAGCATTACGTGTAGTATTTTTGGTTGTTTATACATGTGTGATGTAACAACAGTCAAAGCCAGAGCTTTTTTTCTGTTCAAAATGAAAAAAGTTTTTTTGTTATTTCTTACAAACTTGTGATTGTGCGTTCAGCAAAGACGTAAAAGCTTTTAGTACTCGGGAATGCATAATTAGGGTAATTCTGACACAATGTGAATGCAACAATGCAATGAATTAAGCAAAGCAGCAACGCCCAGTTTTGCAGAAAATTCATTACTTTAAAAGGGTAACTAGTTTCAGTTGTTTTCCACTCTTGAAAATGCTAATATATGGCTAATTGTTCACATCGGCATGAATATGAAGCCACATTCCTCAGTGTTGATTATCATATCCAGTGTAGCCTACAGCAGGAATAGTAGCTAGTTAACAGTCTTGCTACAGACATACCTTGTACATTCAAATGCTGTGATTTTTTTCGAATTTTTTCAAACTGTTGCTCACTCCTTCATTAGCACTATAGTGCTTATCTTTGAGAGGGACTGGTTAAAGATTTTACATGCTGTGGGATGCATGTGAACTCTTATTTCCGTCTCTCTGAAGTATTTGTCAAAGCCTTTCCGGCATACAATGCCATGAGGTAAATAATCACAAAGTTCAAGTTTAACTACACTTGAGAGAGTTGCTGGTTAAATTCCAAAGTTTTAGGTCTCCACAAAAGATCAACCATATTTAATGACGTCATGTTTTCTTCAGGTTGCTTTTTTGATGTAGCACTTGCTTCTCACTGTGGCTCCGTAATACCACAAGGTCTTGGAAAGTTCCAGTGTAGTTCCAGAGTCTCACAGATAATATTAGAGCCCCTTTATCTACATCTGTTTGTGTGTTCAAATTAGTCGCTCTTCAGGTGGTACTTTCAGCATGCTATCCATCTCCAGGCGTGCACCAGCTATCTCCTGATGGCTTGGGGAATAAGTTCCTTCAGATTGCCGCTTCCTGCGTGCTGTCGTCAACATAAAAATGAGTCCAATGGCCACCAATAGGATACAGCCACATGCCAATGGAACCGCTATTGCCAACCATGGTATATGTTCTTGCTGAGCTTGTTTCTGCAGAGAGCGATTCAAATTGTTACTGTTGGCAGGTAAAAAAAACACTCAGCACTACTGTACTAGTTTGCATTCTAATTTCTGCTCCTAAATTGCATGCTTATTATTTTACTCAGTGTTTACTTACATTTGTTTCACAGAATTGCCCACTGAATCCTGCTGGACACAAACACTGAAACCGGTTCAGCCGATCCAGACACGATCCACCGTTTAGACATGGGCTAGATGCACACTCATCAATTTCTTTCTCACATCTGTGGAAATAAATATGTACACAAATACATATGCACTTAGTCATCTATATTAATATATTTGCATATTCAATTTATTTCTAATGGACAGTGATGTAAGTGTTAATTCCACCTGTCTCCTGTGAATCCTGGAGGGCAGGTGCAGTTTGCCCCCCATTGAGTGTCATAACAAACGCCATCATTTTCACATTCAACATCCAGTTCACACTTTAGAGGAGGGTAATTATACCTGATGCACAAGAACACAAACAAACAAATGGATAACCCCCCAAAACTTTAGTCTCACTGGTTCATTCAAACTCCGGTAACAAGAAATAACTGTTATGTGAAAGAAAGTGGGAGATTTGAAAACATGAATAGTCAATTATCTGATATTTTTTTAAATTGCCATTTGCAATTGCAACCAGGTTTGCAGTTGTCTTTCTGAAGGCCACATTTTTACCCCTGTTCTCTGTTGAAAGGCATATGTATTGTAAGTTACCACTGAGTCAAGTCTAGGCATCAGTGTGTGTGATCTGTAGGAACTCACTGACAACGTGTTCCGCTGTACTTGGGTGGACAGATACAGGTGAAGTCATTAACTCCATCCACACAGGTTCCCCCATTCTTACACTTCGATCCTTTGCAGTTGTCTATGTTTTCTGAACATGTAGGTCCAGCATATCCTGGGTGACACAAGCAGTCAAACCCATTAAACTTGTCTTTGCACTTGCCATGAAGACAGGGTCCTGAGACACACTCATCTGTTTCTTTCTCGCAGGTGATCCCTTCCCAGCCTGATGAGCACTGGCAGCCAAATGTATTGAAGAGATCCACACACGTACCACCACGTCTGCAGGGATGAGAGCGGCACACTGGAGCACCAAAGCAGCCTATGCGCACACGCTCATCATGTCGTCGCCAAAACCACGATGTTTGGGGTGATTTGGCATTGTCTACAAATGGAAGGTAAACCTCACCCACTCTGACAGCGCCTAGACATCCTGTGTACGTCTCTGCCAGTGCAACTTCACTTGACAAATCTTTAAGAAAACTTAAACTACCAGCAAGTTCCGGTGCACTGCTACCGTCGATGATGTCATCCACCAAAATGAACCACTGCGATGCATCACGTTCTGGACTGGCCATGGCAACCAGCAGGTGATGCCAGTTTCCATCTGCAATCTGTCTCTGTCCAGAGAATATCACTGGTTCCACGCTGTTCTCGGTTTGGAGCTCCACATGAATGGCTGAATCCACAAGACCAATCAGTAGAAGCTCCGCCCCTCTCCATGCACGAAGTAATACGGCATTTTCCTGCCTTGTACGGAGATCCATGGTCACGTTGGTCACCGAGTAAACTAGAGATCCCTTAGCACTGTAGTGTAAGGGTGTGTTGTCAAAAGTCGCATTAGCAATGCCTGTAAAAACAAAAAAAATATCTTCTTATAATATCCATTTACTGTTTTTTTACACACATTTATTTTTACTACATGATTATCGACCTTTATATTTCTGAATTAATTATTTTGCTAATAGGACCTTTAAGAAACTGTTAAATATCAATTGGATGTTTAATATAAGCATACACTCAAAACCATCCAACAGATCCACGCAGCGTCCACCATTTACGCACGGGTCACTGACACACCAAACCCGAGTTTCACATGTCTTTCCAGTGAAATTCCATGGACAGAAACAAGTAAAGTCATTCCATGTGACTGTGCACTCTCCACCATTTAAGCAAGGCTCCACCTGCAAACCAGAAACACAGCATCAGCTCTTTCCAGCTGTAATGATCAATTTAAATAGATCTAATGGGATAAAAGCAACATTTGTGTCCACATACCTTGCATATGTCATCACTTATGCATCCAGGAAGCACGTTTTTTGCATCACTGGAGATAAATAGAGTCTCACTGAGGGTACTATTCCAGACTTCCACATCCAGATGCACATCGTCTAGTCTCAGATCCTGCAGGCAGCCCTTAAAATGACCCCCCCAATCAGCTGCACCCTCCTCATTTGGAAACCCACCAATATACACCAGGTCTCCCTCCAGGACTTCCAAGTCAGGCAGAGAGCCAAGCCCGTAGCGCAATCCACCATGGCTAAAGAACACCTGACCTTCCTGTATGTCTATCTGAAGCAGTTGTTTCTCTCCATTACAGACAAACACTGGTGATGATAGGATGGGTGACCCCACCACAGAGGTCACCTGTACTCGTCCCATTTCCAGGTACATGGTAAAATAAGGATCATCCTCCTCTGTCCGCTGATGACCTGCCCTACATAGCTGAAATAATAATCCACTTGATTTAAGAGATCGTAGGAAGAATGACACACTAAAGTTCCTGCCAATATCAGACAGCAGTACAAATGCAAGATAGCTAGTAGAGTCCTCATGACCGAATGTCCAAAAGGAGAAATCTGTGGAAGAAAGAGAAATTGAGAAAAAAGTCAAGCATGACAATGTTTTATTTATTATTATATAAGTTCCCCTACACCACAACTCCAGTCCTGGAGGGCCACTGTTCTCCAGAGGTTTTGTCCAACCCTCATCTTGATTAGTTTGTTCAGCTGTTTGAGAAGGGTTAGAGCTAAACTTAGCATAAAAATTGCCCTCCAGCACCAGAGTTTAATGCCCCAGCTCTAAACATTACCACAAGAAAAGTGTTTGAGTGTATGAGCATATGTGTATGCATACCTTGGCTGCAGTCATGGCCATAGTGAGGTCTATAACAGTCACAGCGGTAGCCTGTCCAGAGGTCAACACAGTGCCCTTGTTGAGAGCAGGGATTTGGGTCCACCTCGCACCATTCCGTCTTTATACAGCCCAACTCTACGCTCACCTCTTCATCTCCAAGATCATGCGGCAGAACAGTATGGCCATCCACCTGTAGGTCCTCCATACAACCCAAAAAGCCATGACCACTTAAGGTTAGCTCCATGTACTCCTCTGGTACTCCACCTACATATAACTTTGTGAGGCTGTCACTGTGCAAGAAACTTTCTTGACCATCTGGTAGCTTGTGTTCAACTTTGCATGCTTGATTGCCACAGCCTGGAACTTTAACTTGCAGTACAAGTCTGATATCCTTATCCCATCTATCAATGTTCACCACTGCCTCATGCCAATCTCCATCACTTACAAGCCCTGGTAATTTAGCCTCCAGCGACCCTTCCTCCTTTGATATCGCCTTGGCACGCAGCTCACCCCCAACAATCTCCAGAGAGAGGAAGAACTCAGCATTGCCACGAAAGAACAGCAGCATATCAGGCAGTGTGGTGCGGAAGCGTAGGCGGACCCCCAGGGGCTGTTCCTGTTCTTCTATGTCTCTCTTTCTGCGCTCGAGTGGTGGAACTTCAATAAGAAAGAACTTTGGTGAGGAGAAGGAGAATGTGGTTGGTGTTGAACATACATCATCATAAAATCCAGGTGGACAAAAACAAGTATATCCGTGCTCTCCATTCAACCATGGCAAGCAGGTGGCACCATTTTGACATGGATGGTCAATGCAACCAAGCAGCTGCACAATGCATTGTGGTCCTCCCCATGGCAAGAGACCTTCCTCAGCTTCTGCACAATGGCACTTATATTCAGCCACTCCATCTTCACATACACCTCCATTCAGGCAGGGGGCGCTCTCACACTCATCTATGTTAACCTCACACTCTACACCTGAGAAAGACATAACAAAGTTAACAATACAAACAAAAACACATGCAAACTCTTTCCCACATGCAAACACCAACCTGCAAACCCCTCCGGGCATACACATTTGTATCCATTTACCATATCCTCACAGCTTCCTCCATTGTGACATGGCTCAGATACACACTCGTTTATGTTCACTGAGCAGTTCTCTCCTGGGGAGAACAAGCAAACAAAACAAATAAACAGCATGGCAATGCTCTTTTCAAGTAAAACATTGCATCAATATTTGAGTAACCTTGACCACCCATCACATATTGGGCTACAGCATACAGTAGTTAGGCTCAACTCTGGAACAAGTTTTTAAAATGAAAGCTGTTGTATTGTTGGATGTATTGTTGTATGATCTGTTGTTTTACCATACTGTTTTTATGTTGCCAGTACCTGTGTATCCTGGTTGGCACTGACAAATGTAACCTGCAGCTGTGGTGTAGGTGAACTCCCAGCCTGTTTCCCAGTGTTCAGGTTTTGACTTCTCAAAACATTCACCATCATTCTCACAGGGAGTGTCAGCACATTCATCTATATCCACCTCACAGTTATCCCCTTCAAAACCTATACACACATCAACATCATTTATGATTTTTGCAAAGTTAGATTAAAGACATGAGTGCAATTTTTGGATAAAGGAGAGCTACCTGGCCAACAGGTACAATTGTAGTGGTTGATGCCCTCTATACAAGTTGCTTCATGTTGGCAAGGATGTGATGCACACTCCGGAATATCCTCCTCACAGTGGTCTCCCATAAACCCAGTGCCTTCACATTCACACTTATAACTGCATACAAACACACACCAAATAAGACAGTCAGTCCATGTATAGTCTTATGCATTTAATGATCAACATACAATCAGGTCTGCATTGCAGCTTTTTCTGTCCAATGCCCAACTACTTAGACAGGAAGATATATTTTTAACAAAGTGAGTAAGTGATGAAACAGTGGGCAGTGCTGGGCATGCAATCTGCATGACTCGGGCATTCCCATAATTCCTTAGTTCCCTTACCTATCGATGAGGTCGTAGCAGATTCCTCCATTCTGACATGGATCACTCTCACATTCATCAACATTAATTTCACAGTCGGAACCTTCAAATCCCTGCACACAGTCACAGGTGTACAGCCCCACTAGGTCATGACAGGTGGCTCCATTTTGGCAAGGATTTGACTCGCATTCATCGATCTCCATCTCACAGTTTACTCCTACAGAGATTTAGAACACAATACATGACTAACAATGATTTGACAATTGTTGTCAGTGTGAATATCCTTGTAGACCAGGAGTTCCCAATCCTGCTTCTGGAGGGCCATAATCCTGCAGATTTTGGTTCCAACCCTAATTAAACACATTTCAACCAGCCAGTCAAGGTCTTTTGGATTACTAGAAACTTCGAGGTAAGTATGTTGGAGCTATACTTTGCAGAACCTTGGCCTGTCAGGAGTGGGATTGAGCACAAATGCATTAGACTGTTAATAATACAGCTACAAGATGGCGAAACTTACAAGTTCACACACCCACACAGATTACCTGTATATCCCAGCAGACATTCACACAGGTACTGGTCTTTTCCATTAATACAAGTTCCATTGTTCCAACAAGGTCGTGATGCACACTCGTTTATGTCAATCTCACAGTTGTGTCCTTGGTATCCAGGTACACAGAAGCAGTGATACTTGTTGGTGCCATCCACACAGATTGCACCGTTTTGACAAGGATGTGAATCACAATCATCCACATTCACTTCACAGGTCTCACCATGAAAACCTTGTGAACAGGTGCATTCAAATCCGTCCACTATCCGTCTACAAGTGCCATTGTTGAGGCAGGGCTCATCAATACAGTCTGTGATACGATGACTGCAGTCTTCTCCTCCGAAACCAGGTGGGCACAGACATTTGTAGCCATTGAGCTCATCTACACACTCAGAGAGGGCACCTACACATGGTCCACTTTCACACTCGTTGAAGTCCTCTGGACAGGTGTAGTGCTCCGTGCCAAGTTCAGTCTCACACCCTTCGCATTCAGCAAACACACAAGCATTGTACAGCTCATCACAGTCCCTCCCAGTGTACCGCACTTCTTCCCGTGAACACAAACACACATAGTCGTCCATTGTATCCACACATGTCGCCCCATTTTGACAGGGTGAAGATGCACACATGTCAGATGAACCGGAACAGAATATACCTGGAGAAAGAGAGATAAAGTAACTCTTAGTGATGCATTTCTCCAATGGGGAAACCCAAGGGTGCCCAATCCTGCTCTTCAAGATCTACCTACTTGCAGAGTTCAGTTCCAACCCTGCGCCTGTGTTCCTGAAGATCTTAATCGGCTGATTCAGATATTGGGTTTAAACTTTGCAGGAAAGTTGATCTCAAGGACCAGAATTGGGTACATCTGGGGTAACCCAATGTGAATTCCAGTTGTCATTTTTTCATCTTATTATTTGTGGTGCTTGCTCAAGTGTTTAATCTTGGAACATACTTTGGCTTAGGGATCTGAACAAGCCCCTAAACCCAAGTATTAAACATCCTGCACATTTGTGTGCTTGTTGAGAAGTGTCCCACAAATATTTTAAGCAAACAGACATAGTTGCCTATTTGCCTTTACAATAAAACAGACAATCTAAAACATATCTAGGGACCACAATGTCATAGAAACTCGGAGGTGGGTTCCTTTGTTTGGGCCAGTAAGCAACTGTCTAGCAGCCACTTTGCAAAGTATAACAACCCAGCAACCATATTGTATCACTCTAACATAGTGATTGTGAGTTCTGTGCACTACTCGTTTTCTTTATAATAATTTAAAGATTATGTTGTAATATATTACTATGATAGCAAAATAGAAAACAGACATGTACCATCTGAGACATACTGTAGGTAAGACTAACATCAGTTAATAACAGGCTGTTGATCCCAAACCTTAATCCTGGGTAAGACTGACTGAGCCTGAGGAATAAAGAGAGAGAATCTCTGCAAAGTTAGCATTACAAATACCAAGCCCATCTGTGAGGTTGATTATTTGTGAGATTTCTCAGTCCTAACAAGTCTTTAAAAATGTACTTCAGACCTTGAACTAAAAGATCAAATTTGAGAGGTCCCCTGTAAGTTGTGATCTTATCTGTTTGTGAGTATTGCAAGTCAAATATTTTGTTTGTGCTTGTGAGTGTGGTATAGAGCATACATGGGGATTTTCTCATACAAATCGGCCAATCGCATGAGAGCTCTTTGAGTCATTCCAAATTCCTGTTATCTGCATGACCTCGACCCTCATCCCCCACTGCGCGTCCAACTTGGATCCATTAATGTGGCCCACCCATCCTTAACCCTTGTGGGGCCCCTCGTCCCCCTAAACTCCACTCCCCCACCTTCTCTAAACCACTTTGCTGCCCTGGCCCCCTCAATGTCGCTTTGATCAGAACTTCATCCCAAATATTCATTCAGGCGGAAGATATTAATGCATGGGCAGAAGGAATGAGGTGCTGTGTGTGTGTGTATCTGTCCGTGTGCGCATGTTGAGCGTTGAGTGTTTAGCAGGGCAGTGTAGCAGGAATGGAGCAGTGTTTTGTGGAAATAAGGTGAAGCACTGAAGGGGGGTATATAGTTCAGAAGTGTGTGTGTCAGCTTTTACTATGATTGTTGCAACCAAATGTCCCCACAATGGTAAAACTTGATTCTTAAACTTTTTTTGTTACATGAAGGTCACAGTAAAACTTGAAACGTTTCACCATGCTATCAATAGTGATTATATTATTTCACCCTTGTCGTAGACTTTACCAAAAGCCAAAATATCAAAATAAAATATCTTGATTATCTTGAAAAAAATATTCATTACTCAATTTTTTTAACTGGTTGCATGGGTGTAATCCGTAGCTGCTAATGTGTTTTGGTAGTTGCTTAAAAACAACTGTTTGTTGTAGTTCTCTGGTATAGTCTTATTTCCTGAACTTTACAATTTAATATTTGTTTGTGTTTTCATTTTTTGTTTTTTATTTGTAGCTGCCCCCGCCCCCAACCCCCCCTGGTAGCTTGTGTTCAACTTTGCATGCTTGATTGCCACAGCCTGGAACTTTAACTTGCAGTACAAGTCTGATATCCTTATCCCATCTATCAATGTTCACCACTGCCTCATGCCAATCTCCATCACTTACAAGCCCTGGTAATTTAGCCTCCAGCGACCCTTCCTCCTTTGATATCGCCTTGGCACGCAGCTCACCCCCAACAATCTCCAGAGAGAGGAAGAACTCAGCATTGCCACGAAAGAACAGCAGCATATCAGGCAGTGTGGTGCGGAAGCGTAGGCGGACCCCCAGGGGCTGTTCCTGTTCTTCTATGTCTCTCTTTCTGCGCTCGAGTGGTGGAACTTCAATAAGAAAGAACTTTGGTGAGGAGAAGGAGAATGTGGTTGGTGTTGAACATACATCATCATAAAATCCAGGTGGACAAAAACAAGTATATCCGTGCTCTCCATTCAACCATGGCAAGCAGGTGGCACCATTTTGACATGGATGGTCAATGCAACCAAGCAGCTGCACAATGCATTGTGGTCCTCCCCATGGCAAGAGACCTTCCTCAGCTTCTGCACAATGGCACTTATATTCAGCCACTCCATCTTCACATACACCTCCATTCAGGCAGGGGGCGCTCTCACACTCATCTATGTTAACCTCACACTCTACACCTGAGAAAGACATAACAAAGTTAACAATACAAACAAAAACACATGCAAACTCTTTCCCACATGCAAACACCAACCTGCAAACCCCTCCGGGCATACACATTTGTATCCATTTACCATATCCTCACAGCTTCCTCCATTGTGACATGGCTCAGATACACACTCGTTTATGTTCACTGAGCAGTTCTCTCCTGGGGAGAACAAGCAAACAAAACAAATAAACAGCATGGCAATGCTCTTTTCAAGTAAAACATTGCATCAATATTTGAGTAACCTTGACCACCCATCACATATTGGGCTACAGCATACAGTAGTTAGGCTCAACTCTGGAACAAGTTTTTAAAATGAAAGCTGTTGTATTGTTGGATGTATTGTTGTATGATCTGTTGTTTTACCATACTGTTTTTATGTTGCCAGTACCTGTGTATCCTGGTTGGCACTGACAAATGTAACCTGCAGCTGTGGTGTAGGTGAACTCCCAGCCTGTTTCCCAGTGTTCAGGTTTTGACTTCTCAAAACATTCACCATCATTCTCACAGGGAGTGTCAGCACATTCATCTATATCCACCTCACAGTTATCCCCTTCAAAACCTATACACACATCAACATCATTTATGATTTTTGCAAAGTTAGATTAAAGACATGAGTGCAATTTTTGGATAAAGGAGAGCTACCTGGCCAACAGGTACAATTGTAGTGGTTGATGCCCTCTATACAAGTTGCTTCATGTTGGCAAGGATGTGATGCACACTCCGGAATATCCTCCTCACAGTGGTCTCCCATAAACCCAGTGCCTTCACATTCACACTTATAACTGCATACAAACACACACCAAATAAGACAGTCAGTCCATGTATAGTCTTATGCATTTAATGATCAACATACAATCAGGTCTGCATTGCAGCTTTTTCTGTCCAATGCCCAACTACTTAGACAGGAAGATATATTTTTAACAAAGTGAGTAAGTGATGAAACAGTGGGCAGTGCTGGGCATGCAATCTGCATGACTCGGGCATTCCCATAATTCCTTAGTTCCCTTACCTATCGATGAGGTCGTAGCAGATTCCTCCATTCTGACATGGATCACTCTCACATTCATCAACATTAATTTCACAGTCGGAACCTTCAAATCCCTGCACACAGTCACAGGTGTACAGCCCCACTAGGTCATGACAGGTGGCTCCATTTTGGCAAGGATTTGACTCGCATTCATCGATCTCCATCTCACAGTTTACTCCTACAGAGATTTAGAACACAATACATGACTAACAATGATTTGACAATTGTTGTCAGTGTGAATATCCTTGTAGACCAGGAGTTCCCAATCCTGCTTCTGGAGGGCCATAATCCTGCAGATTTTGGTTCCAACCCTAATTAAACACATTTCAACCAGCCAGTCAAGGTCTTTTGGATTACTAGAAACTTCGAGGTAAGTATGTTGGAGCTATACTTTGCAGAACCTTGGCCTGTCAGGAGTGGGATTGAGCACAAATGCATTAGACTGTTAATAATACAGCTACAAGATGGCGAAACTTACAAGTTCACACACCCACACAGATTACCTGTATATCCCAGCAGACATTCACACAGGTACTGGTCTTTTCCATTAATACAAGTTCCATTGTTCCAACAAGGTCGTGATGCACACTCGTTTATGTCAATCTCACAGTTGTGTCCTTGGTATCCAGGTACACAGAAGCAGTGATACTTGTTGGTGCCATCCACACAGATTGCACCGTTTTGACAAGGATGTGAATCACAATCATCCACATTCACTTCACAGGTCTCACCATGAAAACCTTGTGAACAGGTGCATTCAAATCCGTCCACTATCCGTCTACAAGTGCCATTGTTGAGGCAGGGCTCATCAATACAGTCTGTGATACGATGACTGCAGTCTTCTCCTCCGAAACCAGGTGGGCACAGACATTTGTAGCCATTGAGCTCATCTACACACTCAGAGAGGGCACCTACACATGGTCCACTTTCACACTCGTTGAAGTCCTCTGGACAGGTGTAGTGCTCCGTGCCAAGTTCAGTCTCACACCCTTCGCATTCAGCAAACACACAAGCATTGTACAGCTCATCACAGTCCCTCCCAGTGTACCGCACTTCTTCCCGTGAACACAAACACACATAGTCGTCCATTGTATCCACACATGTCGCCCCATTTTGACAGGGTGAAGATGCACACATGTCAGATGAACCGGAACAGAATATACCTGGAGAAAGAGAGATAAAGTAACTCTTAGTGATGCATTTCTCCAATGGGGAAACCCAAGGGTGCCCAATCCTGCTCTTCAAGATCTACCTACTTGCAGAGTTCAGTTCCAACCCTGCGCCTGTGTTCCTGAAGATCTTAATCGGCTGATTCAGATATTGGGTTTAAACTTTGCAGGAAAGTTGATCTCAAGGACCAGAATTGGGTACATCTGGGGTAACCCAATGTGAATTCCAGTTGTCATTTTTTCATCTTATTATTTGTGGTGCTTGCTCAAGTGTTTAATCTTGGAACATACTTTGGCTTAGGGATCTGAACAAGCCCCTAAACCCAAGTATTAAACATCCTGCACATTTGTGTGCTTGTTGAGAAGTGTCCCACAAATATTTTAAGCAAACAGACATATGATAGTTGCCTATTTGCCTTTACAATAAAACAGACATTCTAAAACATATCTAGGGACCACAATGTCATAGAAACTCGGAGGTGGGTTCCTTTGTTTGGGCCAGTAAGCAACTGTCTAGCAGCCACTTTGCAAAGTATAACAACCCAGCAACCATATTGTATCACTCTAACATAGTGATTGTGAGTTCTGTGCACTACTCGTTTTCTTTATAATAATTTAAAGATTATGTTGTAATATATTACTATGATAGCAAAATAGAAAACAGACATGTACCATCTGAGACATACTGTAGGTAAGACTAACATCAGTTAATAACAGGCTGTTGATCCCAAACCTTAATCCTGGGTAAGACTGACTGAGCCTGAGGAATAAAGAGAGAGAATCTCTGCAAAGTTAGCATTACAAATACCAAGCCCATCTGTGAGGTTGATTATTTGTGAGATTTCTCAGTCCTAACAAGTCTTTAAAAATGTACTTCAGACCTTGAACTAAAAGATCAAATTTGAGAGGTCCCCTGTAAGTTGTGATCTTATCTGTTTGTGAGTATTGCAAGTCAAATATTTTGTTTGTGCTTGTGAGTGTGGTATAGAGCATACATGGGGATTTTCTCATACAAATCGGCCAATCGCATGAGAGCTCTTTGAGTCATTCCAAATTCCTGTTATCTGCATGACCTCGACCCTCATCCCCCACTGCGCGTCCAACTTGGATCCATTAATGTGGCCCACCCATCCTTAACCCTTGTGGGGCCCCTCGTCCCCCTAAACTCCACTCCCCCACCTTCTCTAAACCACTTTGCTGCCCTGGCCCCCTCAATGTCGCTTTGATCAGAACTTCATCCCAAATATTCATTCAGGCGGAAGATATTAATGCATGGGCAGAAGGAATGAGGTGCTGTGTGTGTGTGTATCTGTCCGTGTGCGCATGTTGAGCGTTGAGTGTTTAGCAGGGCAGTGTAGCAGGAATGGAGCAGTGTTTTGTGGAAATAAGGTGAAGCACTGAAGGGGGGTATATAGTTCAGAAGTGTGTGTGTCAGCTTTTACTATGATTGTTGCAACCAAATGTCCCCACAATGGTAAAACTTGATTCTTAAACTTTTTTTGTTACATGAAGGTCACAGTAAAACTTGAAACGTTTCACCATGCTATCAATAGTGATTATATTATTTCACCCTTGTCGTAGACTTTACCAAAAGCCAAAATATCAAAATAAAATATCTTGATTATCTTGAAAAAAATATTCATTACTCAATTTTTTTAACTGGTTGCATGGGTGTAATCCGTAGCTGCTAATGTGTTTTGGTAGTTGCTTAAAAACAACTGTTTGTTGTAGTTCTCTGGTATAGTCTTATTTCCTGAACTTTACAATTTAATATTTGTTTGTGTTTTCATTTTTTGTTTTTTATTTGTAGCTGCCCCCGCCCCCAACCCCCC